ATATCTGAAAAAATGAATAATCATCAATATCAATAACATATATATGATGTTTTCTATTTGCAACGATGATTTCAAGTGATATTCTCAGATAGCACCTATCTATCTACGCGTGTATTTATCTCAAGTGGTTTCTAAGGATTTGAAGATTTAAAGAGACATCAATGCTATCATAATTTTTGTAAGATGGATCGGAGGACGAAACTAAAGAGTACCGATTCACCTAAATCCGTTACGAGACAATGCTTTTTTATTATTACTTTACTTTCATTAACGTTCAAGTTAAGGGAGCCATGCTTCGGCATGAATGGAACAGCTCGGCTGAAATGGTATCACGGCCTAAAAAAACTGGAGTGCAACAATCATACTGTTGTGTTTCACCGTGTGACTGAGGTTACCGCAGGCCCAATTAATAAGTATTTCCGAAAAGTTGAGCAACGCACTCGTAACTCCTTTGGTGTTTGCTTACTATAGTAGGTAATCCGTCGAGTCCGTTCGCTTTTCGTCCGATGACATAAAATAATGACTAGCACGGTTTCCATTTCCAACCACTGCTGCGCACTGGTGTCTTATACTTATCTCATGGTAAGCAATCTGCGCTGCTCATTACACTTGTCAGAAGCCACCTTTTTTTTTGAAAAAAAAACGTGGCCCCACTCTATGATTTTCTCCTATGTCGTGGGTGCGTTTACAAACATACAAATCATAAACTGATGACATCACACCCAGACCGGAACAATAATTTGTGGGTCACACAAAGATTTGTTCCGTGCGGAAATCGAACCCGCGACACGTTGCACGGCAGTCAGTTGCCCAGCCACCGCGCCAACCGTGCAGTCGTTTGGAAATTAAGTACTTGAAGATTGTGCACACATAGGCTCTAGGCTCCAATTAGTTTCACAGTCAAATCCTTTGTTACAATATAAGTTGGTTGCATTGTAAGAACAGTGTAAGGCCAATTAACACAAATAACTTGAAAAAGAAAATAACTTCAACAATAATATTATTATATTTAGACAGTTTAGTATAGAGCTGACCGGTCCCAATTGATGGCGCTCATTCACAAATGATATCTTCATCTTCACCTTTGGCGGGTTGTAGAGAGCGGATGGCAGTCAATTTATGTAAAATACTGGTGTTAGGAAATACCCAATGCCGAGCTAAAAAACATATTGTACAAACCTATTGAAAATAACGTGATTAACTCGCGGGAATGTATGTCTTTGCGCGACGTCGTCGCCCAACGAGAGTCCCGTTGTGACTCGAAACTAGTAGAGCTTTCCTCAATGAATTCACGTGAGAAAGTCGCTATTAGGTAATCTATATATATATAAATGGATCGCAAAATGTGTTGGTAAGCGCATAACTCAACAACAACTGGAACAATTTAGTGAATTTTTTTTTTGTATATGTTATGGTCAGGAGAATGTTCTTATTAAAGTAAATATTAGTTAAGTAGAGGGGAAAATTGGGAAGAAATGACCCTTTTGTTGTTAGGATAGTAAGACCCGTGCGAAGCAGGGGCCAGCAGCTAGTATAGGTATAAAAATAAATTGCGCACTGTTCGTTAGTTTCACTAAATCTGGCTGGTCCGCTTTCGCTAAATTTGGTCTTGAAATAACCGTGGAACTCAATGCAAGGAAGGTTTGAAAGGTCAGAAAACATTAAGTACTTACCTACTTAATTATAATGAGACACGAACTTTGTTGGGTCAGCTAGTTTTCAATAAAATTAATGTCTCATGATAGTAGTTATGTTATTGAAAAGTTTTGTAAAAATGCCCAGAAAAGTATAGAGCATGTGATTAATTGGATTTTGCAATGAGGGTGGTGACTGGTGAGCTGGTTTGGCATTACGCTCACGTAGCTTTGTAATAAGTCCAGTTGTTATAGCATGGAGGAAGAAACATAAAATTCCTAGCACAAACCCTCGCTTCTTACTTTTATTTATGACAATAAAACTCAAAAATGTTGCCCAACACGCGTTACATTTTTCGCGGTCTTGCTTGCTTAATAATTAAAAAAGAAGCAAAAGTAGCAACTGCAAATGGGGTAATACTAAATGAACAAGCAAATCTTGTGTTATATGGTGTAAAGAGAACTAGAGCGTTGAACTGAAATCCCAATCACCGTTGTCAAAAAATATTGGTCAATTGGTTTGGCGCCCTGGCGCATAAAAAGCGGTACAAGATCCTTTCTGCCAGGGTTGCGGCCAAGCGCAACAAGTCCTGTGCGAGAAAAGTCATTTAATGATTTTCCCCTCACAAAAGAAGTTGGAAAGAACAGAGGAATATCAACAAATATATTCTTCTTTCCTGAAATCCCGAGAATTGTAATGTTTTTTTTTAATTTATCAAATCCCAAGCGAATGTTCGCGTACCTATTGTTCTTCTTTTGGATCTCGATTTATCACGATTGAAAATGTAAAGAAAAAAACAACGCAAAAAAAGTGTGGGAGGGCCATGCTTCGGCAGTTCGGAGTGATACCACGGCCTCACAGAAAACCGGCGTGAAACAACCACAGCGTTGTATTTCGGCATAACAAAGTGAGTGATACACCACATTAGGCACTTTTGAACGTCAAGCAAAAAAAAGGCAGGATAAAGGAAAAATTAAGTGTAAGTGAGGTTACCGAAGGCCCAAGCCCTCCCGATCCGCCATCGCTTCCCAATCTATAAATATCCGAAACCCTTATCCCTAAAAAGCCGGCAACGCACTCGTAACTCCTTTTGCGTATCGCGGGTGTTCATGGGCGGCGCTGATTGCTTACCATCAGGTAATCCGTCTGCTCGTTTGCCGACCTATACCACAAAAAAACTAAAATAGAGAAAATAAAGCAGAAAGTATAATAAATAGCTTAATAAGTAAGGTCGTGATCGTCCGGTAACTTATCATAGTAAGCTGACATGACCGTTGTTTGTGAGCGTGTGTCACAAGTCTTGCTCATCCCGTGACTAAAAGGGCCCGCGTGGCGTCTCACTCACATAGTAATGTACACTTAGTATTGTGTATGACGTGCTAGTATACTAGACTTTATGGCGGGGTTAGGATGTCTCAAAGATTTGTGTGCGACTATTTTTGATAAAAAAATATTTTTTATTTAAGTAAGTACCTATCTAGGTATCCTTATTTTTGTATTTGTATCGTGTTAATGAAACAATAAATTTATTTTTGTAAATCTATAATTGTATAGGTACTAATATTATTAAGAGGTAAAATTTGTAAGTTTGTATGTAATATTTGGAATCGCTGGTCGGATTTCTAAAATTTATTCACTGATAGATAGCTACAATGTTCCTGGGTGCTATAGGCTATAAAACATTACGCTACGATTAAATGCAGCCGAGAAGCAGGTGAAACCGCGCGAGAGTAGCTAGTAAGCCATAAAACAGCACTTTTCACGTCAAAATTATATGTAAAAAAACTAGATGAAGCCTGTCTGTACCTACTATACAGATTTATACATATAGTAGGTATTGTGCAGAATCAGGCTTGACGGAGGATGGACTTAAGGAAAAATACTCGAACAGGATATTAATTAATTACTTTAATGGAGTTAACGTCAAGAGTTAAGTATAGCAAGTGGGGTAAATATCAAAATTCTTCATAATTTATACTTTTCATAACAAGCGCAAGTTGATGCTATAAATATATCATCAGGCGCACGAACAAGTATCTAAATGTTTTATTTTTATAAATCAGGATTAAAAAAGTAATTGATATTGGTAGTGTAAGAACGGTGTGAGACATTGTCTCGTTTTTCAACTAAATTTTTTATGTTCGGAAAATTCAGCAACACCCGTTAGTTGAGCTGGTTGTAAACTTACATTTGCGTGCCTGCCATCAAAACGGGTCTACTATAACAGATGTGGTTCTTTCCTCAAAAGACCATCACAAAATGAATTTGCATGATTGTCCTCTATTATTCTTTCATTTGTTTTGGCATTTCTCTCTAGAGTAGTCGGATATACTTACCTACTTATGATTTTTATGCAATAGGAGGCAAAGACCTTGTCTTTCTGACTGACTGATGATGGTAAGCTACCAGCGTCGCCAATGATCACTCATTAGTCTCGCAACACCACGTTACAATTGTGTTTAAGGAGGAGTCTTTTAAGGAGTTTTATTGAACATTCGAAGGTCGTATCGGTCCAAAATATCCGGCCGAAGACAGTACCTACATTAAACATACCTATTATTTGCTTTAATATTTGTATGGCTTAAGTTTTTACAACTCGAATATATTTAAATAAATGTCGATAGCAATTTCATCCGCTCAGTTTATAGTCCTGCAGTGAAAGAAGTTTTCAAATCGTTCAAGTAGTTCAGAACCTACTCAATTCAAACGAACAAACAATCAAATCTTTACTCTTTATAATATTAATAATCTATATCTGTAGTTAAATTAAAACATCACGCTACGATCAAATGGAGCCGAGCAGTGGGTTAAACCGCGCGTTATTTAAATAGATAAGGATAACTGTCAAACTCAAAAACAAATAGTAGGTAAACTGTATTCGTGTATTGACTCATATTGGCTATGCATACACTTTTAGTTGGAAATTGTATTTGGAATTGAACACAGTCCACCGGGAACTCGCTGTCGATGTAAATATTGACACGAAACAAAAGCTTGCCAGGCAGCGAGAGTTTGGTCAAACAATATTTTAATCGAAATTTCAACTTTTGTATGTAGTTAGCTACTAGTACTACCTTTTTAGGTAGGTACTTTTTTGATGACGAAAACTCATCTAACGACTTTTCCGCCCTGGCTGGAAAAGAGTGTCAGATTCTTACTGACTAAAAACTACCCCGTTCTCTTCTCATATCGAAAAGAAAACTCGATATCGAGTATCGAATTGAGGTACATGCAGGACATGAAGTTTAGATTGTTTTTTTTTATTGTTTAGTTATGTAGGTAAAAGTTAGTATGTACTCTATTCCAATTTCACTCTTTTAAGTCTCATTTACGGACACTGCGCGTCTTGCGTATCTATACGTACGATGACATTGCAGGGTCGCGTCATGGCGTCATCGTCCGCGCAAATACAAATGTTTGTCGGGCACGCTGCTATAGCAGCGGTAAGACCTCTCTTCAAGGAGTGGCTCGAGTCCGCTCTTAGTCGAGCGAGAGGTACTGGGAAACCTCTCCTTTTTGCGAAGCAATTTTGCTCACAAAGACTGGGGTGGACCGCGTGAGGGAGCTATCGTGTATCATCCTCCTCACGCACCTCCTTTCTTGTGAACGCCGGACGTGAGAGGTCGCGCCGCCGAACATTTCCTTGAGGGCACGGCGTGCTCAGCTCAGGCAGGGCACAACACCACCATAATTCACCTGATTAATCTCACCTGTGTCCTCCAAATTATTAACTCTACTCTAAGACTGCTGGCCTGGGCTTCGCTCGTTTAACGTGAGGACGTGGTATTGCTTTAGTCGGGACATCCCTATCCTGACCATTATAGGATTATGTAGCATTTGCAGATCAAGTTTTAATTTTATTGTTTGTTTTGTTAAACAGTAGGTGTTTGGCGGTGATAGCGGCGTGTGTGCTGGCGGCGGCACTGGTGTCTGCGCAGATCACGTTCAGCCGCGACTGGACGGGGGGCAAGCGGGCTGCGCCTCAACTGGCCCTCGACTGCGGACAGTTCACCAGGCTGTGTCGTCACTTCGTAGTTAGTATTATCACTATTCATGGATTTAGAAAATTCATTCATGTCCCTTCGATGTCGTTGAAATGTAAATTGTAAATTTAAATGTATAATTACCAAGTTCTAAATATAAATTTATTTAGATATGGAATTCAGGGATGAAATTCGAATTTCGAATTAATTATTTATACGGAATAGATGAAGAGATTCTAGAACAAAATTTTATTCTTCTGTTTTGTGCCGTGTTCATAGTTTCCGAACGGCCAACATAGGATTAAGTAGGTAGTTATTATGTAATTCGGGATTTTTTTATGATAGCTATTTTGGGTTTTTTTCTTCCCTATCCTTGAAGTCTAAAATGGTGTGTTTCAAGCGGAAATTTGAAATGCAATCCAACATTTTTATACAAATCTTTTGGTAACAAAACTTAGAAAAAATGAATATATAAGACTAGGACTTTGCTATAGCATTTCTATCTAAAAGATGTGACGTATTAATCTGAGAATGTTTCTCCCATGTTGGCAGCACGAGCTGAAGCAAGCGCTCACGTCGGAGATGGCCAGCAAACGCCAGGAACTGGACAAGCCACCGCTTTACGACGAAGAGTAGCACCTGCCTTCAAACTATTCAGGCAGACTGACTCCCGAACTGACGGCCAGATTATTAACACATGAATAGGATATGCTGACAGTTGGATCTATCGTGTTTTATTTAGTTATTTATGTGCCATTTCGTATTATTTTTTTGCCCACAGCTTGGCCCACTTAACAACTATAGCTTGCGTTTTTCTCAATATTCCAAGTGTTGTATGCAGATCCCTTTTTATTGGTTCCTAACCTCAAAAAAGACAGATTTTCTCAAAGATTTAATTATACTATATAACAATTTTGAGTTATTAATAAGTTTGGTTAAGACGGAGCGCGAATCTTCATTTGCAACTGGTAGCGGCTGGATACGAGTTATTGAAGATGGCGTTCTGTGCTTGCTTGAGTCAGAAGCCTTTTAAGTCTATCTTGATATTAGTTTTGAAATACCTACTATCTGTAGAGACAACGACAGTACAGACATCCGACCCTTTAGGATGACTATAAATATCCATACCACATACTTAATAACAAAAAAATAATCGTAAAATACGACGACTTAAAATTTATTATCAAACAAAAATCCATCATATTTTACCAGCACCTAATTTGTTTAAAATGTAATCTAAATTACCATACTCTATGGTCCCAAACTAATTATTCGACTAACAAAACAAACTGGGTAGTCGCCAAACGAAAACTTTTAAACAATCATCGATTTATGATATAATTAAACAACTGACTTGATATCGGTAATTGCGAGGGTTATAATAATTATGTGAAAACTTTCTGACCATAAAACTTCTATGACATATTAACTTTTTAATGTTTTGGGCACAGATGCTAAGCTAATTACTTTAGTCGATGTTTTATTACGTTATTATTGTCTATTATTTTTGTAATCCATAAAGTTTAAAAATGTCTACCTACTAAGGATAATGAATTACGATTGTTTAAAAATTATATATTTATTGGTCATATTATTATCTCCAAGCTTACCTTATTGTATCCTTGTATCTAGTCAATATGCTTTATTGTATAAGTAGTTAGGTAATTAGGTATCCAATTATGTGAATTAAATGCATGACATATAGATAACTAAGCGACGACGGTATTTTGATAGGTATATCATCAAATTGTAACTAAAACAATCTCTGTATAATAATTATAATTAAAAGAGATTCAAGTATTGTTTGGTCTTTTTTATTTTCTTAACTTAGTCTTTGTGATCTTCAAACCGAATATTTTTTTCTGAACCTAACTTTTTTTTTACTAACGGGTGGATACCTTCAAAAGGCGCCTAGCTTTTGGGGGAAAAAGACTAGGGAGTGTGGGATTCTTACCTCACTAAATCCTCTCCGATGGCCACCATCAACACCTGTAAGGGACACCGGGACCTCTTGATAGATCTACCTAATGAATCATCAATAAATTGATGCAAATCTTATTCTTAACTAGTTGATTTGTAGATAATCTAGAGAGACTTATGTTCAGCAGTAAACCGTGGCTCAACTCGGATCACAAGTAACGGAGGGGTTTTTAAGTCTTATTTTCGGAAACGTGGCCTAAAACACTCTCTCGCCTCACTCACAGCAGGAACAATAAATTGATGAAATTTTAGATGTCGACGACGAAAGTCGACGTCGTGTGCCTGATATGTGACGAAAAGCCTCGCCGCAGTTATTTATAACCGATAAAAACATCAATAGGCACCATCTTATTTTAAAAGAAGGCATGGTTCATTAACCCCTTATCATCATTTTTTGTCATCCTTTGAGGGACCAGAGGCAGTGCCAGAATAACTGGTTAAAAACTATCCAACCACTCTTGCTTTTTGCTTGTGTTTCTCCCGATGCAGGCCAGGGCCAAGGTACATTATTGTTAGTTGCACCCACTACCCTGGTTCATCCACCTTCATAATACATGAAATCTCAACATCTAACAACGCAATAATATTATAAATCTGCTAGAAAAGTAACATTAAATTACTATCAGCATACAAGGAAAAACAAATGAAACACGAGAAAATACTTAAAATAGTTATATTATTGTTATAAATTGATTTTATTTACACATAAAATATAATTACGAACTAGACACACACAATTATTATTGCAAAATACAATCAATTCCGATGTTTGGTGGTAGGTAATACATACATTAATTATTTTTTGAACAAGATACCGCTTAAGCGCCATTTTTCTTGTGTGGTTAATAGATAAAGAGCTTGTTTACACCTTCATATAAGTTCCCTATAAACTTATGTAGCTTATACTTCATACAAATTACGTTGCATATACGTATTAAGGGAATCAAGCTCTTAATTTCAATGGCTCCAGGATTTAATTTAGTATAGCCTTCTGCAAACGGCCACGTGAATGATGACCAAATTAGTTTTTATGGCCGGCAAACGAGCAGAAGGATTACGTGATGGTAAGCAATCAGCGCCGCCTTAGTTACCGGATACACAAGAGGAGAAACAAATGGTTTGCTGACGTTTAAATTTGAAATTTTCAAGTATATAGAATGGACAATATTGGTATACAGTAAAAATTCTCAATAACAATAACACCCTTATAACAAAACAAGACATATCTTTTGTCAAGGTTTAAACCATCGAGTCAACTTTTGAATTTTGAACCCTATTCTCACATACCTTCAATTTGAAATGCTAAAGCTGGCTCAATAGAAACTAGACTAAAAAAAACCTTTGTTATGTAATAAGGTCCTAAATAACAAACTAACTTGAATGTAGAAAATATACTTCAATATTATTAACCTAACATGACGAAATGAGAGCTTTAACTACAAGATAACATGAATATTATGATTATAAAAAACTAAGGGCTGAGTTTCCAATAGTCAGATAAAAGTTATCTGTGGAATAATTATGATGCTGTCGCGTTAAAATGTTTGTATAAGACAGTGACAGCAACAATTTTATTCCTCAGATAACATTTATGCGACTATTGAAAATTCAGCCCTAATTGTTATTTAATTACAAAGTAAAAGGTTATAATATGTTTGATTATAAGCATTAAAAGTACGTAAAATAGGTGTTGTTAGTTAGAAAACCTAGTTCCATTGGAAATTTATTGCAATTAACGACTTACGTGAATTAAATCGGCTAAGCGACTTCGCCGAGACGCGCACGCTGTTCATGAATAAGTCCCGTTGTGACTTTAAAACTATGGTCTACCGGTTTAAATGGTTAACTAAAGGTAAACAGGGCATATCTTTTTATATAAAAGAGGTCGTATAACACACATACAAAGATTATTTAATTTTAGTTTATTAGCTAACATCGATTAAGGTATATACCTGATACCTAGTAAATATTTTCAGACAACTGTTACATAAAAAAAAATCATGCAGATTGCTAACCTTTAGCTAATTGCCAATTACTTCACGCGAGTAAGTTGTTATTTACAATAAATTAACCCATCTCAATATTATTACTACTTTCATGAGAACAGCAAATTAAATTAAATACTGTTATTTGAAATCTATGTGCCCTTACCTTTTTTAATAAAGTAATAGATCTCAAATTGATATAACGGGTCTAGTCCAAGGCATAATAATAAGATTAAAATGAAATTGTGACTTTTGCAATGAAATAGAACTGGAGTAGGTAAAGCGTAACTGCACGGTTGGCGCAGGCTTGGCTGCCGCACAACGTTTCGAGGGTTCGATTCCCGCACATAACAATTCTATGTGTGATCTATAAATTGTTGTTTCGGTTCAGAGTGTGATGTCTATTTTGTAAAAGCACCTACGACACAGAAAAAATGGAGCAACTTCTAAAAAAAATATATAATATAATATTACTTTACTATCTAAGGTGTGTTATTTTAAGGCATTTAGGTATTATACGGTGATGAATTAGAATCAATATTATGAAAAAGCAACTAAGAATTTAATTGTTAGTACATTATTAAAGCTAAATTTTCAGTCAAACTAAAACTATACACACTTTTATAATTAAACAAATTAAGACATAAAAGGTACGCGTCATATACTAAAAACTTAAATAATATACATAATTTTATTAAGAATTCAAAAAATATCGACCTTAGTGTAATGTCATGGTTATTGAATTTCAATTAGCACAGCTAATCAAAATTAAAAAAGTATAAAAATCAAGCGCAAAATCTGTCTGTGTGCGCTAAACTATAAAACGGGTGGATTGATTATGATACACGACTAATGGCCTTTATTTAGTTCAGGGTAATAAGGTCGTCGACACGTTAACCATGCTAGTTTATTCGCCTAAAATTGGTCCCACAGATTTTAAAACATTTCGTTGCAAGTCTGACTGAACTGAATTGTTGATAAAGTGGATAGGCTTATATTGTCTTAAATGGAAAATAATTTGGTAGTTTCCTAGATTAAAATACTTATATTTTGTTATTGCTATTTTCAATACAATTAATTTCAAATACATTATCGTTATTACTTTATATATATATTTAAGATTTTTTAGAAATGCGTATGATTTGAAGTAATCATTATGACGTCATATGTTGAGCAAATGAGAAAATCTATAAAAAATATCATTTTTGACATTACAATAAAAATATTAAATTTGACTAGTTGGAAACTACCGGATCCAACAGCTGTATTAGATATTATAAACAAAATAGAAATGGGAAAATTCTACAGAATTTCATTATAAAAAACCTTAAACATCATTCCATCCAAATCACTAATGATTACATACATATTTCATAAAAAATCACAGTACAATGTCTTTTTCATGATTCTCATAATATCACATGTTTTTAATACATTGTATGGTAGACAGGCAAATAACTGACATACTATAATGTTAGGGATATAGTAATTAAATGTACAATATGAAGAGGTCGTCATATTTAAAAGGAGCCTTATTGCCTTAATGAAGCAGCAAAAATAATTCATACAGGAAAAAAATTGCAAAAAGGTGCGATTATCAAGCGATTTTCACATTTAAAACCTTTGCAAAAACGTTCAAATTTCTATAAAACTAACCTTTAAAATACAACCAAACATCTTCATACAATAATTTCGTAATAACACGTAATAAAAGCAATTATCTTACTCAATCATCTTCAGTGGCGCAGCATCGAACGTATTCTAGGGCTTTGTTCAAGCAATCGAGCCATATATCTCTGTCTTTAGGCGTATCGGCTGCTAGTAAGTGTCTCCTTACGATTGACCCGTCCGGGCGTCGGAAGTATACTAAGGATCCCGAGTCTGGTACGATCAAACCGGCTGGTATGGAAGATTCTAGAAGGATCGTGTTCGGACGAGCGCAGAGGTCGCGCGGCGCCTTTATTACGCGTTCCGATATGACGGTCGAGAGGTCTATGTCACCGATGGGCATCTGGAAAGAAACATGTATTGTCAGTAAGTGACGAAAGTAGGAGTAATATAGTTGCTTAGAAACCAGATATTTTAGAAATCATCAAATGACTTGCGTGTGTGGAGGAGCGTCAGACTCATGACTAAAAACTAAGTTTCTTCTCCTCCACACACCCCTAACTTGATAGGCTCACTACATACATACGACATGTAACTATTATACATTTTAAACTGATGGGTGTCTAAATATACAAAAATATTTTTAAATAGTTTTCAATCTTTAGGTTTGAGTATCAACTTGGTATATACGAAAACAGGTACCTTGTTAGCGCCTGGACAAACTCGCGACGAATTGTAGCTTCGTTAAAACAATCTAAGTTATGGTGAAATTGGTAAGAAAACCTAAGTACTCATCGTTTGTAGTGTAACGTGTTCGTACAGACGAACGTCCGGGAAAAGTCTTCTGTATATTATAAATGCGAAAGTTACGATGTTTGAATGTTTGTTACTCAATCACGCCAAAACGGCTGAACGGATCTGGATGAAATTTGTCACAGGCATAGAATACACTCCAGAATAGGAAATAGGTTACTTTTTATCAATATACCACGTGGGCGAAAGCTAGTAATATATAAAGGTTAAGAACATACCTTCTTCTGCACATCATCAGGGTACTTCCAGTAGGCGAGACGGGGCGGTTGCAGCCTGAACCAGCGTCGGTGCCAGGCGCCCAGCCCCGACACGTCGTCGAACGCCGTGAGGAACGCCGCGTGGGGGGCCGGCGGGGACACCTGCACGCGCGCCTTTATTTCTAGGTTCAATGAACCTTCTAGTGGACTGCCGCATGGGACCTGGAGTTTTTAGTGATAACGTTATTTAATAAATAATACTCGGCAACTGTAAAAGACTTAGGCCTCATGTTATTGGGAACAAAGCTGTTGGAAAAACTTTTATATATGAATGAAAAATCAAATCAATACATTTTTAGTCTTGAAAATAACCAAAATATGCGGAAACAATAAAAAAGTCTCTGACACTAAATGCTACTATCACGTGGCAGAGCCATACTTTGGCGAGATTTGGCCATTACAACAGTAGTAAAACAGAACCTCACAGAATGCCAGCAAAAACATCGTTTGCGTTGGGTATCACTGTACGGGTAAGTGAACTCCCATCTTCAAATCTCTAGCCATTAAGACACTGTTAACACACTAGTGTTGTAAGCCTCCATGAATAACTCCGATTGCTTATCCATTAGGACATTCGTCTGCTCTGTTCGTTTTTAGCTTTAGCTAATCCCATGAAAAAACCCTTTTATAAGATGTTAATTTACACACCCTATGCGTAATAGAAAAGAGACCTAACTGAGAAAGAAGGTATTTGAATTCTGAATATTATGTTTAAATAATAGGGTTCAATTTAGAATTACGCTTTTTAATGAGTGAGATCTGTTTTATATTAAACATGCGATACATACAGTCTAATTTTCTATGTACGAAATACTGACCTTATTAAGGGTAAAGTGCTTCCTGGTGGACTGTTGCAATGCGAAGATGCAGTACCCGTGCAGTGCGAACTGTGGCGAGCGTACTGCCATCGGGCCGGCGGGACTTTGGACGCGGGGCGCCTTCAGCTCCGATATCTTTGATTTCGGGGTTAGAAGCTTCGAACTTGACTGTGGAGATATAATTATATATTTTGAGAATTGTAGAATCAATAAGAAGAATTATTTATAAGTCATCATCAGTATATAAGTGCCCACTGCTGAGCCAAGGCCTCTTCTCACACGGAGAAGATTTATGCATTAATCACTACTCTAGCTCAAGGCGCATTGGCGATTTCTAACTTAAAGGTAATTAGATATTATAAGTCCAAGCTTATTCACGATGTTTTCCTTGACCGTATGTCAGTGGAGTCTAAATAATCAAAGAAAGTACATATAACTCGGAAAAAGTCACAAAGGTACTTTGATACTTCACGATCATGTATGAGAAGCGGGTGCGACGACCACCGGGTCACCACTAATAAGTAAGTAATAAATGTAATTCCGTAGTTAAGTTAGTCTAAAACTAATTATTTTCGATGCAACAGTCTCATTCATTTTTTTTTGCCAATTTCCTAGAAATGAATATGGTATGAATGCTAGCACTTACTTATCATAGTATAAAAAGTAATAATAATTAATATTTTACCTTTTTGTTGGAAATGTGGTATTTCATCTCGTGAGACAATACTTCTTTAGATGCTTGCAGCAAATACACTTCCACCGTCACCTGGAACATTGAAAACATTTTCTAACCGACTTCAAAAAAAGGAGGAGGTTCTCAATTCGATTGTATTTTTTTTTTATTTTTTTTATGTTTGTTACCTCAGAACTCCGTCGTTTATGGACGGACTGGCAAATTTTTTTTATGATTGAAAGGATATGCTTCCAGATTGGTCCCATTCTTTTCAAAATCGAGTTTTGATGATGGGATCCATGAGAAATCGAGGGAACTCCTCAAATATTATAGGCAACTATATAGTAATTTTAATATTTTCATAGAGCACTCAAGCATTTACAGTCAAAAAGTAATATTTGATGAGGTGGAACTGGTGTAGAAGATCAGAAATGGATGATGAAACTTGACACTCGCATAGATATCACAATCACATTTTCATAGTTGCTTAACTGCAACTATGAAAATGCACTATAAACCAATGATCTTAGATAATTATGTTGGAAATGACGAACTGATCTAATGATGATGATGGAGCTGGAAGGTAGGCACTGGAACTGCGTACCTAATTAATATATCCTAGCCGTGTTTGGGCTTGTTAGAATTTTTATAAGATGCACTTTGGCTGTAAGGTACTATTGAACTGATGTGATGATGAAGCTGGAAGGTGGAAGGTTGGCATGGGAACTTCAAAGTAGAATAATGTATCCTAGTATTGTTTAAGCTTACTAGAGCTGTCAAGAGCAATGGAAAGGGCTATGCTCGGAGTTTCCTTGCGTGTTCGAATCAGAAATGAAGAAATCCGCAGAAGAACCATAGTCACCGACATAGCTCGAAGAAATGCCAAACTTAAGTGACAGTGGGCAGGGCGCCGGGGTTGCGGGGTAAGCGCAATGAGGTACCGCGACCTCGGCACAGAGCAGGAGAAGGAACAGGGGGGTTTTTAGTCAGTAAGAGTCTGACACTCCCTCCTGCCCGGCCCTGGGCGGGAGAAGTCATTTGATGATTTTCCCCTCACAAAAAAAAAAAAAAAAAGTGGGCAGGGCACATTGCTCGTAGAACAGATGGCCGATGGGGCCGAAAGGTTCTAGAGCGGCGACCGCACACCTTTGGGGGCGGAGTTTGGCCTAGTATTGGCTATTTTGCATTAGTCCACGTGGACTGCGTTTACACATTAGTGGTGAAATGAGTCAGTGTTCTTATCGTTTTCCTGGTAATAGGCTAAGACGATTCATTGGCATTTTTAACAAAACAGTCGTTCTAAATGGGTTACAAAACAATAACTGCGTCGTACAAAACAATAATTGTGTCTCTTTTGTGTGCACATATGTAGATAATACTTAAAAAAGGTTCATACATTGAATGAGTCATAAATGTATATTTACAATAGCGGTGGTCTTTTGTATTTTTACCAACTTGTCTATATATGAATGTTCTTAGTAATAACAAAATAGTTTTCTTCATTTAATGGGTTACAATTGATACAAAACAATAATTGCATCGGTCTTTTTTCTATGTACGAATGTATTTAATCATACTAAAATAGATTGCATAGCGTTGGTATCTTTGAACTTTATCTGTCTGTTGATGAAAATATCTAGTTTTTTGTTATTTTGCGAGAACTAATATGAATTAATGATAAGATTATTTTTTATTTTAACTCTAAGAATCATAACTATTTCATGCATCATATCATCTCTCCTCGAGATCAAAACGATTACACTGTAACAATGTACCTATGATATGTATTCCTACTTAAATGACATTGGTAACTTTTTCAAAAGAAATGTAGTAACGATATTGACTTCGTTGCCATAACACATTATAATAAAAAAAAACACTAAACGGCTACAAATAAAAAAAAAATACAAAAAAAGAAACCGCCTTCAAAAAGTCAAGCAATAAAAGTTCCTACACTAAAAAGTAAAAAATAAAAATTTGAACTGCTGTAAATAAATTTAATTTATAGGTAAACTTATTTGTCATTAATATTTTACAAATATTCAAAATTTATTACTTATTTTTGGAGTCGGTGCCAGCCCAGGCAAGGAAATACAAATGGGCAACAATCCCATGAAAAACTACCTCTTACTTAATTATAACACTACTTAATACCTATTTGCATACTCAAATATATATTAATTAAGACATAAATGCAGATTAGACTTCTCTACAAAAAATATCCGATTTAAACATTTTTTTAAAATAAAAAATATATTACAAAAACCTTCTGCCACATTTTAAGTACATTGAAAATGTTTAAGCGATAGTACGAAAAATGGCACCGGATATTAAAAAGCTAACATTAAGTTTCAACATAAAAAAATGCTGGCCGACTCCAAAAATAAGTAATAAATTTTGAATATTTGCAAAATATTAATGACAAATAAGTTTACCTATAAATTAAATTTCTTTACAGCAGTTCAAATTTAATTTTTTTACTTTTTAGTGTAGGAACTTTTATTGCTTGACTTTTTTTTAAGGCGGTTTTTTTTTTGTAAACATTTTTTTTTTCGAGTAATTCTTTTAAGAAAATGAAACGCTGAAATGTTCGTCGTTCTGTAGTGTATGTCACTGTCGGGAATAATGTTGTATAACATATAATTATTATGCATTACTAATATTATAAAGACGTAAAATTTGCAAGTTTGTATGTAAAGGGCAATCTTTGGAACTGTTGGTCGGATTTTCGTAATTCCTTTACTGATAGATAGCTATAATGTTCCTGAGTGCTATAGGTAAAATTATACTTGATTTGCGTATTTTACTCTAGCTATTGCGGTCATTTCTTTTATATGTGTACGAAGCTGCGGGCGGATATTAAAATAATATCCTTTTACAGTTATTTTACAAATTTTTGATTAACATTTTGTACTAGATGTATATCCAACAATGGTGATAAACGTTTTAAGTAATAAATATACCAAAATTAAATGCGTTTATTCGGCACAAAAAACATGGACGCCAGTAACAAAAAAAAAAACATTACGAAAAGGTTAAAAAACAGAGGGAGAAAAAAAGATATATCTAAGCCATTGATTCCAACTAAACCATAAATAGGTACTTTTGAAGCGTCAAAATAGAATAGTACTCTGTAAGTCTGTTCGTCAGTGATGCTAGGTGGTGTAGGTATGGTATAGGTAAGTGGAAGCGTTACCTTGAAGTCGCTGGCGAGCCCGTGCATGCGTATGTCGTCGGGGAAGTGCAGCGCGGCGGCGGTGGGCGCCGACTGCTGCATACTGCTGGCCAGCACGCGGTCGCGGCACTTCACCAGGCACACTGCGTGGTGACCCACGGCGCCGTCTGCACATTATATACAACTTACAATCATTACACAACTATCATACTTCATGAATCATATGTTTAAGAATAATGAGAAATTATTCTGCGTGAGAACTAGATGTCAAATCCTTTCCAATTTCAAATTCCAAAACACAAAAAAACTGGCAACGCGATTGCAACTTTTCCAGTTTTGCTGGTGACTGCCCATTTGTCGCTAAATTTCATAATTTTATTCGCTATATTCAATAGATTGGCTATGGCGAATTATCTATTAACAAACCCCAATGTTACATTATTGACAATACGGTAGTTTCCAACTAGTCAAATTCAATACTTTTATCCAAACGTCAAAAACGATACTTTTCTATGAAATTTGTAAAAAAAAAAACGGAGTTATGACGTCATAACATTTTTGCGTCAAATAGCTTAGTTTATAAACAACTATTGTACTGTTAGACTACACAATTAGCGCGGTGTTGAGGGTTCGATTTCTACAAGTACAATTCGTTTTCAATTTGAAAAAGAGTTTGATTTGACAAATCCACCAATTGTTGTCCCGGGTCTGAATGTCATGTATATGTGTGAAATTGTATGTTTTGATGTTTTGGGCAAAGTTAGTAAATAAATGTGTGGTAGAATACCTGCGTTGAGCTGTCGTATGTAGTCCCGCTTGAGCGGCAGGGTGAGGTTGGCGAGGTGCAGCGAGGCCATCCCCCGCGCGGCGGCCGGGCCCGCGCCCTCCACCTGCAGGCGCTGCACCTCGTGCACACACGCCTGACGACGGTGCGCTACCGGACAGTAAGCACAATTATATTTCACTACCTACTCTGCTGTGGTTTCACCCGCTGCTCAATTCCTACAGGTCGTAGCGTGATGTCTTCCTCGATAAATGGACGAAGCAACATAAATAAACTTGTTCTATTCGAACCAGTAGTTCCAGAGATAAGCGCGTTAAAACAAACTCTACAGCTTTTTTTCTATACAAGAAACTTATTTTTTATACTCCTGGGCAAATTATAGGATACTTTTCATCACGCTAAAAATAAGAAGAGCAGAACAGTGAAGGAAAATGTTGGGAAAACGGGAGAAGTTACTCCCTTTTGTAAGTTTCCGTCGCGTGTGTAACCTTAATGGTTAAGAAATTATGTATGACGGAAATATTCTACATAAGATTATCTAAATATATGTTTTACACCATATGTCTATCTTTTACTATTAACTCACAATTGCGAGTGTAACTTCTGATAGCTTAGCAGTTCAGATAAAATAAATATTTACTCACTTGCTAACAGTAAAAGTCTTTCGCCCTCGGCCTGCTCAGTGGAGCCGCTGAATTCTATGGTAGCAGCGCATAGGTTCAAAGCTTGACTCGCCTGAAAACGCAAAAACAAATTATTAAATGTTGAGTAAAACGGCTCAACTCATTTATCATCCTTCCTTTTTTTGATCAAAGTTGAAATGATGTTATACCTAATTGTCTAATTTATGAAGGACATGGTTATAATTTTATAATTAAAAAATATAAAGTGGACTGCACGCGGTGGTTGGGCAACCGGTTGCCCTGTAACGCGCCGCGTCTTCGATTCCCACACGTAACAACTTTTTGTGTGATCAACAAATTGTTGTTCCTGGTCTAGGTGAAATATGTTTGTTAAATTAAGTTTGTAAACGCACTCACCACGTAAGACAAAACCCTACATGGGACAAAGTTTAAGGTTCGCTCAAAATAAGTAAGTAGTTCGTGATCATTCGACAAGTTTCAAGCCAGATCGGGACTCAAAAAATCATAATTGCTGTATACGCGACGTCGTCGGTTACTGTTCACCGAAGTATCTAATTCATCAAATCCCAAGTGAACGTTATAAAAATTTGTCTGATCTATAGCCTTAATATTTTGAAAAAAGATAATCTATTGTACAATACCACGATCAAAAGGTTAAATGCCTCAAAAGGATATCTACCTGTGAAATAACAGTCTGTTGTTTAGCGATCTCGTTCTGTAGCTCCTTGATGCGCTCCCGGACGGTGGTGACGCTGGCGGCGGGCTCGTCCGGCGTGGCGGGCGGCTCGCGTTCCGGCGATACGTGCCGGACCACGCGCATCGGAGTTGATGGGGTGGTGGACTGGGGATTATAGTGGAGTTGATTGAGTTTTATTTTTTATACATTTATTATAGTTTATTCTACTAGTGTTGTATATTATGTGCAATATGATGAGTGGAATTCATGCTACGAATCGTATAGTAATTTCATTCACTACGGGATTAAATGTTAACCTTTAAAGAAAGTCACAATAAAAGATTACTTCGATACTAATGGCATGTGTATTTGTAGCAGAAAACAATGACATCTATACATCAAAATAAAATAAGATATTATAAATTAATTGCTCACGTAAATTTAGGACAATTATTAAAATGACTTACAAAACAACGACTTAATTAATCAGTCTAAGAACCCAAAATAGTTTGGCAAAAAATAAATATCAATGTATAATAAAAGTGAACCTATTGTTAACACGTTGAACGCCATAGGGGACACCGCGTCACGCTAGCGGAGGATTTGCCCTCAACAGATAATAGTCGGCACTCGGCAGTCAATGACTTAAAATACAATAAAATAGTGAGAACTGATTCTTTAGGGTTTCTGCTAAGTCATACAGAAACTTTAAAAACTTTTAAGGCTAGAGTGAATAGGCTCTTAATAAACTAGTGCGTTTTACCATCAACGATTGCGTCACTGCTTACCATCAGGTGAGATCGCAGTCAAGCACTAATTTATTGCAAGTAAAAAAATTTTTCTTGTAGACCAAGTGACTCTTCTTGAAGAGCCATTACTTTTAGACAATAGTTTTCTGTAAAACCAACCTGGTTCTGCATACGCCTGTAGAAGCTGACGCTGTGCACCAGCTCGCTGCCCTTGTCGTGGCGGGCCGGGGTCGTCTGCTGCACCTTCAGCGGGGACTTGAACGCCGAGTGCTCCTGGTACACGAAACTTGATGAGGACTCCACAGATTGCTGCAACCAACCCACACATGTGGTTGGTTACTCGATTTCATATTCTTTTAAAGGTTAGGGGGATTTCAAAATTGGAAGGCTTTTATTGTAGGTGTTGTTTAAAGCCAATATTATTAATTTATTTTATTTTATTAGTATGGGACAGCCAAGCTTCGATGCGAATGGGTCGGCTCGACCGGAGTGATAGCACGGTCTCACAGAAAACCGGCGTGAAACAACCACAGCGTTGTGTTTCACTTTGGTGTGGTTACCGGAGGCCTGATCCTTTTCCACCCATCCATAAGTCCCCAATCGTAAATATCCGAAACTCTAATCTCCAAAAGACAAGCAACGCACTCGTTAGTTCTTTGGTAAAAATATACACACAAACCTTGTGGTAACGGAATAGAATATTTATAATATCTTCGTTTGTACGTGTGACGAAATATGCATATTTGATACAGAACAGGCATCAGTGGTTCCTGAGACTTCTAAACAGCTATCTCCATCCCGCTTGCCAAGCGGGTAGATTATGATCTTTGGTAGAGTAAGACTATTATCCAGCAGTATTTTATATTTGAAATGCTATATTGCCTGGTGGTAAGGGATGATGTGACCTACAATGGAGCACGTCTACCCATAATCATCCTATTCAGGCCTGAAAGACACTCTTCAGAAAACAGACTAACACCCGGTTTCTGAAAGGCTTGTCAACGCTAAATAACTCATCTCCTGTTAAATCTTTTATATTTTTTTTATTAAATTGATTTTAACACAGCTTTTTGGAAACCGGGTGCTTAATCAAACAATTCCACTCCTTAGGTGGCGCTAGCTCCAGAAGGTTTAAAATAATGAATATAAAAACCCATTTCAGCATCTAAAATAAAACTACTCTAAGGCTATGGTACTAAACTAGCTAAAATATAGTAGGAAAATTAAAGAGCAATACCTAATACCTTGATATGTCTGATAGGATTTCAGAACATATTCCCAATCCTATAGCTTATAAGAAGATACTTATTTTTATTAACCACTTAAACTCAACGAAAAACACAGACACCGTATATATTAGCTACATATTTCAAAGAGCACACGATCACAATAAAACAATGCGTTTATTTATTTGATTTTTGTATACGAGAGCCGACTGGTTCGGATGGGAGGTAAATGTTTACTGAAGAAACCGACTCTATGGGAGTATGGCGGAAACTTGTCAATAGAACAACAATGGGGTTTATATAAAAACGTGTCTAGTTTAGCGAGTCATTCAAGGCTTGCTAGGCCATTGTGTTAATTCCCTTATTTTTATATTTGCTGTTGCGTAATACGTAATGTTTGTCGGTAGAGTAGAATTTGTTTGTCGCAATTTCTTTGCCGCTAGTGTCATAAGACACCCTTATAGATCCATTTGACAGAGATCATACAGCTGATGCTGCGAGCCGATGGACCACCACAGACGTGGCCCTATAGGGCTGATGTTTAGCCGGGGTTGCGGGGTAAGCGCAATGAGTCGGAACGGGGGTTTTAGTCAGTAAGAGTCTGACACTCTCTCCTGCCTTCCCTGGGCGGGAGAGGTCATTTGATGATTTTCCCCTGACAAAAAAAAGATCCGTTCGACAGAGATCATTTAACTGATGATGTTTACTCTGAGCCTTCTCTTCGAAAGAGGGGATTGCCTTGATCTAATGTCTTGGCAGGACTGTAGGATATCATAGTAAAGGTTATCAGAGAGCTCTGCAGACTTTGAAGAATATATATGTTTTTTTGAATAGAGAAAATCGTCTAATTACTTCTCTAGCCCTTGGTATGGCGAAAGGGAGTGTCATAATTTTACTGACTAAAAACCTCCCGTTCCTGGTCCGCATGACCAACATGAAACATCGGCCCTTTTGGGCCCTATCTACTTTTTTGTCATCATCATTCTAGTCTGATTATATTACGTAATTAGTATACCTTATTAAGTTTGGGCGGTGTGGGTCCCTCAGTCTGTTCATTGATAGCCTCGTCCAAGATATCGTCCAGCTCACTGTCCGCGCCGCTGCTGTCGGAATCACTCTCACGGACAGCCTTCTTGTAACTCGTGTTGTTTTTCTTCACCACCTGATGGTTATGACACCAATTATTATATTATGTGATAACCCTGGATGTGGCTACTAATGACTGCTAAATAACTATATAACACTAATAAAGATGATAATTATAATAAATCCAAATTCGAGCCTGTTTCATAATATTTTGATAGCAGTATTCATTTACCTACCAGATATATTTGATTATCGACGTAATTTGTAAAAACTATGTGCCACATAAGTTTACCGGGTACCTATATGCAAGAAGTTAAACGGGCCCCTTTAGTTATATCCCTAAAACTATATTTTTTAAAGTACATATTTATTTCTCTAGTACCAGAAGAAAAATACTGAACTGTCTAGTAAGAGAACATCACGACAGAAGTCGTTGTATACAACACAACAATTCGTTATTAATATTAGCAATATTGACAGTATTGTAAATAGTCTGGATGCTGTGATTTTTCTGGCTTTTTTCCTATAATATTAACTACATCTAGCTATACATACAATAGGTATCACTATTAATATACTCAAAAGTAAACGTTTTTTATGTAAGTTGTGTTGTTCAAAAGTAAATTGCAGGCATTAGTTTAGAATAAGAACAGTTTATACCTCGTAAGGACTAACATAGCTATTAAGATTTAAGTTAAATCTAAATACAATATGCTTAATAGCAATAACTAAACACCTATATTTTTAAGAAATGTCAAAAACTATACTATTAATTTTGAATGAGATCTATAGATAACTAATTGTAACGTCACATTTTTTTTTTGTAAGTTAGTAAGCTCATACCTAACACTACCTAATATTAAACTTATATTACCTCCTTTTAATAATAAAAAAGTAACATTTTCCTACAGAATTATCTACTACTTACAAGTCAATTTGAACTGTACCACCTTAATAATAAGGTACGTTTGTCGTTAGCAAATACTTACATTCATAACTTCACGACCGAAGGATGTTTCGGCCCAGTTATCCGATTTGTTCAATCTGTCCCGTGTGTTCTCCTGAACGTTATCCTCTGAGCTGAAATGTGAAAAAAATATTGATATAGTTACTTATTGAATGCCTGTTTAAATATAAGACACAATAAAAGTCAAATTTTGATTATTTAATTCCCTTATTTTGCTGTGTGGTCTCAGTGTGTTTGGTTTGAAAATATATATAGGTACTTATATTAGATAGGACTAGAGAGTTTGAAAACGCTAGTCTCAGAAATTTGAAAATTCGATTTGAATTTTTTTTGTGTTGGATCCATGTATTACATCTAGCTGCGGTCAATGAAACTTGAAAGCGTAGAAACTGCTGACAAAAATTTGTTACTAATACAAATTTACTCAAGAATTTGGTCTATATAGGTGATTTGAAACACCTAGAGGATTCCTTGTATACTTCTTCATCTTCCATCACTTTCATATATCTTATTAAACAAACCTGCCGGTTATTATTATATTCAGTTCAATTTCTAACTCTAGTAATAATTCATTATCACTTATATGTATGCAAATATGCCTAATAAAAAGTCGGAATATGCCATAAATATGCTCCATAAACACTGATTTTTCTTACAGAACTTTAGCACTACTTCTGAAAAAAAAGGTACCAAAGATTGATTTTGTAAGAACATTCCAACTCAGGTTTTGGCAAAACATTCCCTAACTCTCTACACAAAGTACAGTTTAATGCCCGGTTTCCTAAAGCCCGATCAATATTGAAATCAACTAACTAGGTGTCAAATCTCTTGTCAAGTCATCTGATTGGTTGTTGATAATCCAGTCAACCAATCGGATGAGTTGACAAGAGATTAAATTGATTTTAACATTGATCGGCCTTTCGGAAACCGTGTATTAGTCTGATATTGAGAATAAATGACGTACGATATCTTATCCTTGAATTTTTTACCAATACTAATTTGGACTGATACATCCAAAATAGTCTACTTAAATAAGTTTTTTTTGAGTGATGCGCAACGTCTGCGTGACGCGCCTGCTGCACACGAATAAGGGTCTCGTATTGAAACTAATAGAGCTGCCCTCAGTTTATTCACATGTTTTAAGTCTAAGTTTATGCATTTTTATTTTCGCGTAAATACTAAACCCACATTCCTTGTTATATCAGGGCTTGGTAAAAGATTAGGTCTCCGTATTACCTGATTCCTTCTTTCATTGTTTTATCTATACTTCCAAACTAATATTATGAATCAGACTAATTGGTTTGTTTGGATGAGCTAATCTCAGACACTACTTGTTGGAATTGAATTATTACTTTTGTGTTGTATAGTCCATTTATCGAAGAAGGCTACAGGTTATATTGATGTTTTAATTATCATGGACCTGTAGTTTATTCGTTTGTTTGAAAGCGCTAATCTCAGGAATTACTGATTCGAATTGAGTAATTGCTTTTATGTTTGCTATTGAAGATGGCTATAGCCTAAAACATCACTCTACGATCTGTAGGATCCGAGCAGCGGATGAAAATGTTGGCCCAGGCTAAAACTGATGAAACAAGATACATACAAAGACCCTTATTAGATTTCTCTTCTGTTTTATCATTGTTGGAGTGACTAGTACAAGTTAGCTTTACGTTGATGACGTACTCGTTAATAACGTTCGGCTCTCTAATTGGCTTGCACCAAGTTAACCAACCAATCAACTATCGTTTAATTTTTATTACTCGCATTAACGCAGTAAAGAAAAGTCATACGTGACACTCAGGCTTTAAAGGATTCACGAGATGAATTTTAACATATGAGATTGGTTTCGTCTTTTTTTTTTATTTGGGGACATCCATAAAGTACGTCACACATAAAGAGGGGTGGTGGGAGACGATAAAGTGTGACGTTGTGTGACAAGGGATGGAAGGGGACCTATGTTTTGTGACGTCACATTTCAAAATCTAAAAAATATTTCGTCTCTCATCTTTTGGAAAACACGGTTTAAGGATTGTTTGTTTGTTTTATTGACGAGTTCATACCACTTGAGAACAGTTGTAATCTTGTTTTTGTATTATATTTTACTACTAGTCTGTTAGAATAAAACTGATCAAAAATAAGTAGGGACATCAGTTCAGCTCTGGCCATAATTTAGAGGAACTCGTATATTGGAAGAAGCTGGATAACTTCTACATAGGTGTTCGTTTTTAAAACAAAACTGAGCATTAAGGGCGCGTATGTTCTCTCAAAATTGCGAACCTGTAACCTGGTACAATATAAATTGATTAAATTAAAACCAGGTTTAAGTTTCAAGCTTTCTATACTAAAGCAAATATTAAAATACTTTATCTCAACATCCAGATCTTTGTTCTATGAAGAGTATCTACAAACGTAAATGTAGGTACACCTGGACCGAAGTTTTACAAAACAGTCGCGCCATCTGTAGACTACAGCTTATAATTTTGTATTTAATAAAACATCTGGTTACCTCCCTCGAATGCCGGCAGATGTTTTTGTAAAAACTAGTCATTTTGTTGGTTTTATTTCATATGGTTGGTGCGTTGAATGATTGCTTGTAAAGGAAGGTGTAACTGTGTCGTAATAAATATTTATATTCTGTAATATTAGCGCTTGTTAGGTATTTCTTCTTTAAAATCGTTTCCCTACACCGACTACACTGTTCTGTGGGGCCGTTTACAAATATACAATTCCTCAAACACATCACAACCAGACCCGAAAAAACTATTTATGGATCACACAAAGAGTTATTCTGTGCGAGAATCAAATCCGCGACACGTTGCATGACAGCCGGTTGTCCTTCGACGTCAACCGTGCAGTCAAAAGCATTAGATAGGATGCAATGCGCAAAGAATAACAAATTATTTTTAAATGTCAACTTATATTTTCAACTTCAATGCGATTAGTTCGTACATATCTAATTTGTCAGCCCATGCCTATCTATACTAATATTATAAAGAGGTAAAATTTGTAAGTTTGTATGTAGGGGGTAATCTTTGGAACCAAAATTCTTTCACTGATAGATAGCTACAATGTTCCTGAGTGCTATAGTTAATGCGATTTTATTGAGATATTTTTACGTAGTACGGACTAAGTGCATTTAATAGTTTCTCTTTTCAATATTAAAGTGTCGATACTTAAGATGCCTGTAGTAAAGCTCATAGCAATACACTGTTACAATGTTATGCTGCTTGCTTTAGGAAAGTTAAAAATATTAAAAGCCTCTAATTGCCAAATTCTTTGTATCATTCGGTGGCTAACGAGCAGACGTATTACTTGATGGTAAGCAATCAACGACCTCTATGGACGCCTGCAACACTAGAGGAGTATCGAGTTCGGTTCTGGCGTTTGGGGAATAAGAAGTTTGGAAGGAATAAGTATTAATGAGGGAAGAATCGGCCCTCCGGCAACCTCACAAACACGGCAAAACAACGCTATGGTTATTTTACACTGATTTACGGTGAGGCCGTTGTTTCGTCTGGTTGAACCGGCTCATTCGTGCTGAAGCTCTCCCACACTTTTCATCTTTCATTCCGATATTCGCTATTTATCTTTCATTCCATCCCATCTTTTTCTAAACATACACTCTATTTTTAAGTTAGCTTGAAAAAGCTTGTTTTAGTATTGTAGTCTATTATGTATGAACGCCAAGACAAAAGACTTATACATATTTTTTTAATGCCTTTTACCTGGTTTGCTTCCGATCCGATTCCGATGCGAAATCCCGTGAAAGTATCTACTTTCGATACGATTAGACGGGATAGAAATAGTATTGATTACTACAAACGGTATGATGGAGAACGTTAATTTATACTAATATTGTGGTAAAATATGTAAGTTACTATATAGGGCGTAAGGAATAATCTTTGGAACCGCTGGTCGGATTTCTATTGCACTGATAGATGGATAGCTACAATGTTCTACTCTATAGTTCTAGGCTATAAAACTTCACCCTACAACCTAAAGGAGCCCAGCAGTGGATGAAACCGCGCGGCAATAACTCTTTACCATACAATTTCTTACATAGCCACTACGGATCAATGTTTAGCGATTGTAATATCGTACTTTTTGAAGTTTATTGAGAGAAAGTTACTTCTCTATGCAAAATGATCAACCAGCTGTTGCGATTTTTATGGGGAAATAGGTTTATTTTGAGTTTTGGATATTAGATCCATGGAAAAAGTTGTTGTAATTGAGCACCAAAGTCAGCTGCTTTAATAATTATGTCTCACGTTTATTCCCAACATACTGTAGATTGAATTATTAAGACATCTTAGTTGAATACAGACCAGTGAGAGAAATAGTACTGGAATCACATCCATACCAAACTTGATGTAAAAACACCCCAATACACAAAAAACACAGATTATCTAAAAAAAACAGACCAAAAAACACATTGAGAACTTTTGTAAATAGAACGGGCAAATAAAAAGATAAACACAGCAAAACAAGAGGGAATTAAAAAACCAAAATCCATGTCGTATCAATAGCTTTATTTTACAAAAAATCGTTACTAAAATTAAGTATTATATTATCACAGACAACATAATTTACAAAATACCTGAAAAGGAGTCTTATAATTACGTAAAATATTAGTCGACATACAAATTATATTAATTTAAAATAATGCAAAAAAATGGCGTTTCGAAAATGCTAGGTGTTTATTATTTATGGCTTTGTGTTCATGAATGCATATCATACGATTAATCGCATTTGTTAAACTGAGATGATAAGTCTAGACGTATAAGACAAAAAATCGCATGATCGCATTCAAGGAATCCCTGCTTAATCAACTGTTAAACTATTGCAAACATTAAATATTTAAATATTGATATTTTAAACTTTATAGTCATAGATTCAGAGTCTAATTTCAATTGTATAAGTTTACTTTTATGTATGTATCTAGTTCAAGAATGCCTAGGCATTAGCCCAAATAATTTAACCTAGTAATTCTATACTATTCGCTTAGATAAGCTGTTGTCAAGTCGGAGTTTTGATTTCGCAATTTTGTACCTTATCCTATGTACCTATAATACTTAGAATTTATTCCTGATACACTAGTATAATTTAGTAATTAGTATTTTTAGACGATAAGATGCTTTAGGATTAGAACCTTAAGGTTGATATTCGCTTGTCACTATCAATCTGCAATTGAATTCAGAAATCTATATTATCTTATTGTCTTTGTATGTTATAGAAGGAGACAGACTATTAATAACTTTATGTATATGTTATTAAGTATTGTTTTAATGTAAGCAATATTCGTATGGAATTGTACTGTTCATTATGCTTGAATATTAAGTAGCATGTGTTATTATGGAGGCAGTTTAAGTAGATATGTTTCTATTCCACAAAATATATGTATATAGAAGAATGTAGCAAAATCACTACACACTAGCAGGCATCTTTGCAGTCTTAAAAATCAATTATCTATATGAGACACAATAGAAAATGCATTGTGTAAACATACACAGGACATCCAGATCCAGGACAACAATGCGTAGATCTTACAAGAAATTACTCTGCTCGAGAACTAAAGCCGTGATAAGTTGCGTAGCAGCTCGAGGCCTTACTATTTATTAGCTATGGAGCTAACTATGTACCGTTTTGATTTATTATGAATTGTTGTTTAACAAGGCAATGTACTAATGTAGAACTCACATATAGATGAAAAATTTAGTTTTTATATACTTTCTTATTCATGATTATTGTTTTTAATTTATGTACTTCCTAGTTCCCTAGTTCACAAAAATAATAATAAGTAAATAAAGAATAGGCCAAGTATTTACAAATCTCTCTGCAAGTGGAGGATATATATAAAACAAAACTGTGACGTCACAATTTACTATTATACGTATAACTCCTAAACAGAGTTGTAAAGAGTTTAGCTATCAAACGCTTTAATCAAATTAAAAATTGTATCTTGTATTTTTTTTCTATAATGCTGTCTAGACCAAACAGCGTCAAACAATAAATGCAATACGCAAAAAGTTTGAAGGGAAAAATTGACAGAACTTCCCCCGTATTTCATATAAGGACATCGGCTGACAAATTAGATATGTACGAACGATAATCAACGTATTTTTTTCGCAGTCAACCGGTCACCATGCAAATTGACTTGACCTAATAACGTGGAACATTTTGTGAATACAAAATGAGGCAGATTCGGTAGTTTTGTGTGTAGGAAAGTTACTGATTATTAGAAGTTCGATGTTGTATTCAGACTTGTGTCTTTATTCTGTTAAGATTTCTATGTAGTTTTGTTTTACGGTTAAAATAAACGAGAATTTATGTAACTGATAGTTTTCAACTCTACAAACTTTATATTCTTCTTTCAATATATCTGAATACCACGACTAAATACTGGTATTAGAAGTCCAATTATAATTCATATTCATGCACACTATTCATTTAAGTAGAATTCAGACTTATCTATGTTTTTAATAGATTATTTACTATAAATTTTAGTCATCAATCTTGATAATTAAGTCTTTCAACTGCCAATAGAAAACTATTGAAGGTAGCTACGTACACTACCGTAAGTCTCCGTTGACATGTAGCTGTTAACATATTAATAAAGATAAAAAATCAATCTAAACAACTAATTTATACACCATTACTTCTGTTTACTTCTTTAAAAATGTCCTTAATGTGTAAATGAATCAATAACACACAGTTCACAGTAGTACACAATAAGCTGTAATGTGAGAAGTTATCAGGAATGCAATTTACCAGAACCGCGTAGTATAAAGTAACGAAGCATTGTGCAATACATATGCAATTTTGTGCGACATAGTATTAAATTACTTTTATGTACATTTTGTAACTTCGTTTCTATTTATATGATGTTTTGTTAGCTAATATGTAAGCTTTAATCCAATAAATATTATAAATGCGAAAGTAACTCTGTCTGTCTGTCTTTAGATCCGTTCAATAGTTTTACGGACTTTAAGACAACTGTTATTCGATACAAAATTGCATGTCAAGAGCTATAAAAGATCGAATCTCAAGTACTGTTTTAGTTCCGTTAAACTTCAGTCAAATTCACGAACAATTTACTTACAAAATGTGCGCAGCCAATGACCGGTTAAGCGAATAACAGTAAGCCAGTCAATTTTAAACCTTACTGCTTATTAATAAAGTATCAAAAATGTTGTAAAACAGTCCTTTAGAATTTAGGCACGTTTTAATTAATTTAATAATGTAAATTATTGCATTTCATTATCAGACAAAAGTCCAAATAAAGGACATAAAAACACATAGGTACACACAACTACATTCTACTTGACCATAAAGTTTTATAATAATTTTAATGCGCTGTCTTTTTTGAAGATTTAGTCAAAGACGTTTATATACTATACTAGCGGCCCGCCCCCGCTTCGCACGGGTCCAACTATCTCGCTATCAAAGGGTTACTTTTTCCTAATCTTCCCCTCCATTTTTCAAATATTTTGATAAGAACCTTCTCCTGACAATAACAAACACAACAAAAAAAGAATTAGCAAAATTGGTCCAGGCGTTGTTGAGTTATGCGCTTACCAAGAGATTTTACGATCCATTTTTATATATATAGATTATAAAGCTGTAGAGTTTGTTTGTTTGAACGCGCTTATCTCCAATACTACTGGTTGGAATTGAATGTTTTTGTGTTCGTTAGCCCATTTATCAAGGAACAGGCTATAAAACATCACGCTTTGACCCGTAGGCGCCGAGCAGAAAGTGAAACGCGAGGGTAGCTATATAATATAAGTATATATTAGCTGGCCATATCTCAAGCAAAGACGTGTTACTACTGAAATAATTACGAGTCAGACTTGAGAAATATATTTGAAACTGCTAGGTCCTGTAGTCATTTACTACCAAAAACATTACGTCATAAGTCCACTTTAGGACATATAATTATCAACCTTATTTAAAGCAGCTTGATACTTTTAATAGATTAAAGGCTAGGTTCTTATTATGTACGTTATAATTTGAATAGAAAATTGCGATACTATTATATTCTATTTATATTGTCATTTGGAAACTGTTTTTGATATCAATCTTTATGTCGAATTGACGGTTAAATAAATGTTATTACTATATTGATATTATATTAACCGTCAGGCATGTCTAGTAGTATTTTATAACGTTTAAATACGAATGTACTTCGATATAATACCTACCTAATAGGCAGTGTAATTAGTGGCAAATCGGTTCAATGCCAACGTAATTTAGGTTAAAACCTAAACTAAAACCGGCTAGGCAACCAGTCTAGTACTAAAAACGCGTATAATAAATAGTAAATAGGAATATCAAATAAATATCTTATAAACGTTGTGAAAGTTTAGTTATTTGTTGCAGCAACATCTAGCAGAATATTTCCAACCATTGACTTTTGTTATGTTCACTTTTTAATTTAAATAATAAACCAAACAACAACATCCTAAATTAATAGGAACATCATACAAAATTGTACTTCAACCTAAGCTGAAACGATTCCCGCCACTGTTGCTGCAACACCGCCATTTTGAATTTCGTAATTAAGAACAACGCCATCTAGATTTTAACTCCGAGCAACTTTCGTTAAATTTAAATACATAGAAAGAAGAAGATGCACTCAAGAGTGTAGTGTCCACACCTTGATCCTCCACAGTCGGAGTATTCGTCTTGGTTATGAGATGTGTCAGTTTCTATGTCTGACAGATGTGGGTACAGACTGGCTGGTTGCTGTAACACTGCTCCGTTAGTCTGTGGTTCCTTTTTGTTGTTGTTTACTTTTATTCTTTTTACGTCATCCAATACTGAAAGGACTACCGGCGAGTCTTGGGAACCTGGAACAATAAATTGTAGCAATGTTAGTAATGTTTCACTATAAATATCTACCTTCGACACAGCAAGAATTTGACAAGCTGAGGTGAAAAATGAGATTGGTCAGTAGATACAGATGCATTTAAAGAAGTAAATATGTCTTGTTGTGATTGACATGCGAATTGCGAATCAATTAAGAGAACAAAACTAAAGACTTTTATACATATTTATATGGCAAAAATAAAATAAACCTGCTGGTATAGCTTCTAGTATAGCTTTATAACAAGACAATTCTTGAAATGCATCTTTATCTATTGACCAATCACATTTTTTTAGAAGCAAGTTGTTAGTTACTTTGAAATATGACCATACTTCGTCTTTTGACAGGTTGTGATCCAATAACTCTCTCATCCTTCTCAATTTCTTTTTCCTTATCATTCAAAGCTTCAGATTTCTTCTCGTCGAAAACAACTTTAGGTAGATTGGAAATGATTTCTGGTTTCTTGTTAGTTTGAGAGAGGCTTACAGTGCTGCCCATAAGTGGGGCCTTCTCTGAAGGATCGTGTTCACTTGTGTCATCATCAGAATCGTTGGGACTGCCTTGTTTTTCTTGCTTTGGCTGAAATTTTAAGAAATATCAGTTAATACAATTATGAGCTTTGCAATCTCTTACGCTAAGGCTTTAATTCCTCATCAGAGCAATATATCTAATGTAGAAAAGTTTGAAGTTAGAAATACTTTAATACTCATGATTACTTATTATAGCTAGTTTCCTAAATAGGTGGTAAGGACTTAAAATAATCAACAAAAAATCCTATTGACTATTGAGACAGTGAGGTTTATTTTTGTCATACTAAACTTGGGATTAATTTAGGATAGCTCAGTTTGGATAGGACACGACCGATTCCTGACTTAAACCTAGCAAGTACCAACGTAATTTTTCGAGTTGTATGTACTAAGTGAAGGAAAACTTCTCGAGGAAAACTAGGTTTACGATATCAAATTATAAGTTAAAACCACCAATCCGCCTTGAGCAAGCGTAAGCGTGGTGATTTATGTTCAAACCTTCTCCGTGTGAGAAGTGGCCTTTGTACAGCAGTCGGCACTTATAGGCCAATGAATCATTTGTAGTTTCTATTCTAGAATTGCCTACATATTATTATATCAGATTAGGGGCACCAAATCCAGGTTAACTAATACATAATTTAATGTTCAATTTGTGTTAATACCTAATCAATTAAGGTAGACCATATTTTCCACGACAGGAAAACCTAATGATTTGTGTTGATGACATAGACATTGTTGTTATTGCGTTAATGTCGTAAGGCGAACATCAAATTACGTAGAACTTGGTTTATGTAGAAATAACTAATTTACTAGGAAGTCTGTCAGCAAATAGGTACTCCTGGTTATAAGTAAATTTTATTTTCAGGAGTTTACATATAAAAACACATAACATTTTGTATAGTGAAAAATTTTGCTAGATTTATATTAAAATGTTCTTATAAAATCTATAGTAATATTATAAAGAGGTAAAATTTGTAAACTTGTAAGTTTGTATGTAGGGGTAATCTTTGGAACCGCTGGTCGGATTGCCATAATTCTTTCACTGATAGATAGCTACAATGTTCCTGAGTGCTATAGGCTATAAAACATCACGCTACAATTAAATAAAGCCGAGCAGCGAGTGAAACCGCGCGAGAGTAGTTAGTATTAAACTTAAGCGGCTCATAGAAATACTGGTATACCTTATAAGTACGTGTATTATTAATATTGGACTGTATGTATGTATAATTAAGTTTGCATTTACTTCAACATCCTGTTATTAAGATTTCCCGATTAACAATAGATGCTAACATAATACATATAACAATTCCATGACATAAATCGTCAATAACATAATTTTACTTATAAAATGTGTAACGCCCAACGAAGGTTTTGTTACAGAGGTGCGGAAATGTCGAAATGGCTCCCACAAACCGCCCAACTGTTACGAAAATTACCTAGCCAGATGATTCACCATTGTGGAACTATTTTTCATCATCTATTTTCAACTCTATTAGTCTGTAATAGAGTCGAGAAATATGACAATGAGGGTAGCTTGACATGCTGGTGTCTGCACTACAAACTTTCAAAATATATTTGCAAAAGAAAATGAAGTCACGACAAATGTATTGTTAAGAAGACAGCGACTAATGGAGGTGTAATTTCGTTTATCTTTCGTACAATTTTGTGTGGAAAACAAATATATTCTTTTGTGACAATGTAGGAAGAAAAATGTTTGTTGCATGGAAGTAGGTATTGGTTTGGATGTGTGTAGGTACATTGTACAGTACGGCCGCCGTATCCTGGCGAGTTTGAAGTTAGCCGTTTGTCTGAGCAATGGATCTTTTAGGAACAATATTGTGTACTGCGCAGCTAATCGGCTAACTTCAGACTCGCCAAGATACGTTGGCGGTATTGTAAGCTCCTATTTGTTATACAATTGTCTTAGTCAACTAAATCTCTCTTAAACATTTTTCCAGTTGAGTATGGATGTAAAAAAAATCTTAAGTCTACTTTCAGGAACGCAGTGGCATTACAAGCGAAATTAAAATAATTTTGTTTGCCACCTAAAATCGAATGTTCCATTAACACCCAAGATCGACAAGGGGTTAAAATTAACAGTTCATCAAAGTGACTAGAAAGGACACACAATCATCGGTACAACTCTGACCGAAGCCCATATCAAAGAAACTTCAAAAGGGAATTTCTAATGTGTGAACATTAGAATTCCCACGGGAACAAATTAATGGGCTTTAGCGGCACAAGCATACGTTGCTTCCCCGGATGAAGTCTTTTATGACATAAGACCCTTCTTGGGGGGTTTTCGGAGACCACACGAGGGCAAAGAAAAAAAGTTATCAGTTAATTTTATACTTTTGTACCTTCGTGATAGAGTTGAAAATTCAACATACAGAAACAATTTGCATAAATTTATGATAAACAAAAAGCATCAACATATCTAATTGACATTCAACACGAGATTTTAAGATCATTGTTTTTTTACATAATATGTCACGATACGTCGCCGATCTGTCTGCGAGAATGCATCTATGCATTTTAGTAGGGTAGTTCCGAATTTAATAAGACTCTTGCCAGCGATACTGGTAACACAGAAAAGTCGTAAAAAGCGTCTGACTGAAATATGGCCTGAATATGGACGTTGCCAATTTGGCGGCAGTCCAGAAAGAGCTTATAGAAGGTAGCAATTTTCCAAAATCGATAATGTGATTTTGCAGCAACTATGGTATGGGTGATATTCGTGCTTAACCTACTACTAACTATCCTTATTTCATAGTTAGTAGAAGACTAGAAATAAGTTAAGTATATACAAGATTTAGTATATACAGCGCGCATATGATGAACTGGTCCCATTTCACGGGAGACCTGGGACATGAACATGTAGGTATCCATTAATATTTCCAAATAGAATGTCTTAATTATCTGTATGCACATAGTACTTGTTTTTTAGCGTGAAATAAAATATTTTCCTCTCTTTCTTTCTTTTTCTTTCTTTATTTCGTAACTTCTTTTATCAACTTTGTTCCCTAACCGACAAAACAGACGAAGATTCCTCCCCGGTTAGCGCTTTTGACGTTAAATTGTCAACTTTGAAAGGTTACTTTATAGGCTACCTTATAAGAAAAGTTGATGCGATAGATCACGTTGTGTGTCTAATATGTTTTATTTTCTAGTACCCTTTTAAGGCATAGATAGAAACATCACGTTTTATTGGCTCGTAAGGTGAACAAGTTTTCTAAGTAGACCGTTAGTAGTAGCTGTGGAGACGGATAGAAGTACGAACTTTGTAAAAATGTTTAGAAGAAGTGTAGCTCAAAAATCGCGCATAGAGAGAACAAAGCCAAATTTTTCTACAAATGGACATTAATATCCCGTTACTAAGGAGTTGAATAACAACAAAAACCTATTCAAATGCATGACAAACTGCATAATACTCTCATATTGTTCATTGAATATGCAATAAGGCTTTACTTAACAAACAACTAAAACAATCTAACATGTTAATTGCTTGCCAATCAGTAACTCACTTAGTGGACCAACAAAAAGCCTTAAAACAAATAGCATAAAGGCTACAATTCCGTGAGCATTTCACGCGTAAATCGATTTCTTTTTTCTCAGCCTTCGGGGGCTAAAGCTCTGCTTAGTACATGCATAAGTCATTAGTATATGTTGCGTGGTATTTCGCAATATGCTACTTTTAAGGTTTAGGGCGTGTACTGAATGTATGGAGCGGTCAATTATCGCGTATTGTGCTTGTTGTAGACTTTCGTTACTTTGTTATGTTACGAAAGAAGTTTGTTGAGTCAGTTATTTGGTTAATATTCGGTTTCTGACAGTAAGCTATGGTTGTTACATAGTAGGATAGATTATTATTTACTAACTGGCGTTTAGTATCTTTTAAAATGTTAGGAGTTTCTTACAAGTCTTCTCCATAGTAATCTAGTTGCTCGTTTCAAAGTTTATATTCGAATCTATACTTTGAAACGAGCACCTAGCCTTCCTGACGAAAAGGCTGACAGACTATTATTCTATTTGGATGTTTCAAAAGTACCTGGTTTAGTTGGAATACCTGATTTAGACATATTTTGCCGAATATCATAATTTTTACTATATGAGCCATGTGACTGGCCATTTTTTGAAGTATATGTCACTGGCCATTTCTTATAAGTATTTATCAGTTTATTAAAAGTCTATAGTAGTCAAATCCTACACGATTCTCAGTAACTGCATTATATAAAACAGCAATTATTTATTCTTGTACTTAATTAAAAGTATACCCGTAAGTTGTAAGAGTACAATTCTTAATTTCCTTTCCAAGTATAAAGCAAGAGGAAATAAATAGCACTAGTTTGTTGGCCTCGAGACGGGAATAACTCGGAGAGTAATAAGTTAGAAGCTGGAACGCTGAGACGTATACCGACAAGGAATGTTTGTTAAGTGAGATTCTATTGGTTGATTTTAAATAAGAATGTTTTATTGAAGATTGGATTCTAACATAGAAAAAAGAGAATTTGAGAGAAGTTGACTATGCAAAATTAAATATCATCAGTAAAAGGTATACAATAAGTTTTTTTGTCGACCATTCTACTGATAAAATATTTATGCCTATACTACTTACGATACGGATAGGACCGTCCATAAGAACTTGAATCTATATTTCTATACTATAACTATACTTCTATACTAATATTAAAAATACGAAAGTAACTCTGTATTTTCTTCACGCCTAAACTACTGAACCGATTTCTGTGAAATTTCGCACAGACATAGTTTGGAACTCGAGAAAGGACATAGGATAGTTATTATACTAAAAATCTGCAGACACTATTCCACGCGAACAAAATCCTGGGCAAAAGCTAGTTCTAAATAAAAAAAAAATAGCCTTATCAGACTTCCAACAAAAGAAAACCATCTCACCTTATAATGAAATCTGTTCTGCAACATCTCCATTTCCTTCTCCCTCTCCTGTTTAAACTTGTTCGCAATGGTGGATTCACTGATCGTCTGTTCTTTATTGAAAAGTGCTGCTAGCTTGTCCTTGATCCCACCTCCCACAGAACTCTGGCTTATATTATCATCAGAATTATCGTCTTTTGAATTACTTCTGGAACTAGCTAAAGAGTTTGTCTTTGATGGTGTTGTCTTCTGTGCCAATGGCTTTTTGTCAGCTGAAAAAAAGGTTTATAGTAAAAATTCGAGGTCGTTCAATAGGTACAGAGTATGGTGTGCCAACAATGAAGGTTTTTTACTGAGTTTGTACAATGTGTATTGTGTTTAGCAAAAAAACTTGATAAATCACGTTCGGTTTTACGCTTAGTGATTGATAAGCTAAAGATTTTGTTAACGAGAATATTTAGTTGGAATTTATAAGTTTATTATTGCCTAGTTCTAATTTAGTATCTACTTATACATTTTTAAATATTAAATGTTTCTTAATAATACGATCAGATGTAATAAAATACAGTTAAAACAAAAAACAATAACGTAATCCAACCACATTACCACGCTCGATTGAATCGAAATTAACAAAATGGATTCACAAGTTTTATTGTGAAAATAAAACTGTTACTTTATAGTTAACTGTCCGAGTTAATTGTTCAGGTTAACGAGGTAAACCTTGGTTAAACATCAGAGTGCCTAGCACGAATGACTATCGTAATCGTAACGTTAACGTATCGAGACGTCGATACCTCATGTGACGGAAACGGAATGTCGCAGCACGAAGCCTATCGTATCGTCTAGCGAGAGCTCGAATCGAATTCGTTAGTGACGTCATGCTAATGTAAGCTAGAGAAGCACCCAAGTGAACGAATTGAATGAATTCTTGAACATAATTTAACATAAAGATTTCGTCTAAAAACTAAAATTAATTTTAAACATATTTCAACCTTCGTCTACACCTTTTATGGTATTATATTTAAATGAAAAAATATTAATTACGTGAAATAATTCTTAAAACGAGTCAAGAAGTATATAAAATGACTTTATCTATGAAAAAAATATTATTTGGTTATTTAAATTTTGTAACATAATTTACGATTTCCGAACGTTCTTTTGACAAAGGTGACGTTTGACGGCTATTGACGTATTTTTTTTAACAAACAAAACAAAGAATGTAGATAATTATGCGGCTATCTTATTATGCGGTTAGTTTAAATTTATTTTAAAATGAGGAGGACTCGGCTCCAATACGAATTAATGGTGGATTTCATGGAATATGCCAGTGACAAGCAGCGAGCCTTCAGTGTTCCGACCACTCCGCAGTACCCATGACGCCAGCCGTTCACCGACACCACCAGTCGCCAATCCTCCATTAGAAAAGGAATGCAGGAAGCCTCGACCGAAAAATAAAATCTAAAGGGAGTTTAATCAAATTGTGTTTAGAGAATGATAAGAAACCTAGGGAGTTTGCTAGGAAGCGTGAGGAAACATATGATATAATGGAACAACAGCGTTTGGAATTACGACGAGAAGAATGAAGAGTAAGACAGAGAGATGCAGAGCTCCTTTTACAGGCTCAGTGGCTAGAACTTATGAGAGAGGCAATAAATGTATTAAAATATAATCTAGTTAAAAAGATGATTAATGTATATTTACATATTTTATTTTAAATTACTACATTTTGGAATGAGGAAAGATTATGTTAGAATTGAATTTAAAATGTCTCACTATAGTTACCTATAATAAAAACATAGGTAAGAATAGTTTTTAAGTTAGACTAGTGTGTAAGATGTTTTGGAAATGTATAATAATAAAACACTTGGGTCATCTGTGTAGTATATTTATTTGCTGTACCAGAATATTACTTAAAGTCCTTTCACTTATCAAATCATCGCTTCTATCATTTTCATGTCTCATATCAGATGATGAGGTATGAGACAAGTCTTGATGTTCAGCTGTTGTTGTATCTACCTGTGGCTCAGGCACATTAAAATTTATGACCAAATTATGCAACAAGCCGTTGTCAAACACATTTTTCGGGAGCATAATGCAGAGTGCGGTCTTTGCACAAGTATCGCCTCTTCTTTCTTTTACTGCAGTATATTGTGGTCCGGAGTTCCCTCTACCGCATCCAAAATGAGTAGGCGTCATTAGCCATGGTCGCTGTGGCTAGCCAGAATCACCTGTAAAAAATATTTATTAGAAAACCTAATTTATACTAGCTACTTCCTCGCGGTTTCACCCGCTGCTCGACTCCTATTGATTTCATTTTAGCATTATAAGGTTAGTTTTTGTTGGAGTTGCTCACAGAAGTACTTGAAAGCTGTTTTATTTAGGCGGTACCTAGTATTTCTAAACTACGTTTCAGTGATATCCATTGGATTAGATATCTTTCTGAATTTAGCTCGGCACACGATTTATCTAGAATAATCAGTTAATTCGTATTATTTTCTTGAATACATATGTGTATATTAAGTGAAACATAACTTGAATAGGTAGGTACTTAGGTACTTACGAAGTTTCTCTTGACTCTTCATCTCCAAGTAAAATAGCCACAAATACTATTTCTCCAACTTGGTTCGTACAGCGGCGGTCTTTGCATGATGTTATACTCGTAAAGAATACTCACAAACTTTATAATATATTATTTAAAACACGATTGAAATATTTCGAAACCTTTCTCACCGTCAAATTCTTAGTGACAAATGTTTCGACAGTTTTCGATAGCCAGCCTTCGAAACTTACGTTACTATACGTCAAAAGATCGTTCGTGCTTCCAATTTGTGTCAAAATGTTCTAAGTTTCGATAGCAACACGATACGATTACTATACGATAGTTGTCAAAATCATTCGTGCTTGCGATTTTTAGTTCCTTTTACGCGCGGTAGGGGCGCTGTACAAATCCCATAGAAAATGCTTTCGATCTCGATACGAATACTTTCTCGATAATGTTCGTGCTAGGCACACTGTTCGGATACGGGTCAAGTAAACCGATCGAGTAGGACAAGTAAGCTGATTGTTAACTCAATTGGTTTTTATCTATTGTTTTACAAATATTGTGTACACGATCGATTGTGGATAAGGATTGGATTGGACTAATTTGGGGTTTGCATTAATAAGTTTGTTTTTTTTTTGATAACTTCAAACAGGATTTAAATACGTACAGAATCAATTTTCTATCGTGATTTCGACAAGGATGATAAGCTTATATTGTCGTCTATAAGGACAAGAACATTCGTGTCGATTATTATTTAGTTGTTTTTTTAATAAGTATTGTACATGTGATGTGCATTTTCTGTTGAAGATGCCAGTTAAATAAAGAATACTTGTAAGTAAAGAATAAAGAAAAAAATAATGCAGAGTAAAATGGAAGGCTTAGACCTGAAACCAGGGTCATTAGTTCTGTTAGATCAATCATAATATCCTACTAATGCATTTTTTGTAAAATAAACATAATTTATGCAATAGCTGACTGTTATATTTTTTATACTTCAGCCTTAAGTTCATTGACCCTATTATTATAAAATGAAAAAGCAAAAACGAGTGCAATGTATAAGTAATAGGATAACTAATTCAATTTTATGCATTGTTGATTGAAATAGTCGATATCATTGGGAGGTTTATATTCTTGAAACATGGTTCTATGTCATTAAAGAAATGTATAATAAAACTGTACGCCATTATTACTGTAGGAAAGAAGGTAGAGAAGAATTATTTTAATACCTCTTAATCCAATACTTATATCTAGAAAGAGGATTTTGAATAATGCGTTAAAAATATAAATAACAAAATTAGCTGTGGTTGCTTAGGTTCCTTCTGCTCTGGCCCCGGATATGAGCAGGAGAACGGGGAGGTTTTAGTCAGTAAGAGTCTGGCACCCTCTCCCCCCATCCAGGGAGAGCGAAGACATCGGATTACAAAGATGATCAAACTCAATGAGTGATAGCGATTACAGTACAATTTAATGCCAATTAAAACCTACACAATATTAATAAATCTTACCAATGAAATGAAAAACATGTTAGGTCCTATTTTTATTTAATTTTCACCGGATATTATGGTAAACTGGTCGTAAAACTAAGTTTTACTAGTGAACATGTTCGCGTTTTAATATTTCCTTTAGTTAAACAGCTTTCTAAGGGGAAATTATTAGGATTTACAGGAAGTATTTATTGAGATGAATGGATGTCTTGTGTAATAATTATAGCTCAATGTTTTCTTTGGTTTGTTTACATATTACTTAATGTTAATAAATTATCTATTTTAATTCCTATGAATGAGGTTTTGCGTATTTGGTGCTTAATTGCACTTATCTATGTTATCTAGGAAACCTTATATTTCTTATAAAGGAAATACGGTAAAAATAAATTTAAATATTGTACTACTTTACTACATAAATTAGGTTTACTGATAAATTCAGTAAGTAGCTAGGTATTTAGAAAATATGTGATATCTGATTTAAGGTTTCATTTCATATTTTTAATATGATTAAATAAAAAAGTCAGTTTACCAAGTTTTCATACCTAGCATTTATATAGAAAAACACGTAAAAATATTACCATTGGGGTCAAGAAAACTTTGTGGATATTACAGAATAATCACCACAAGACAAGGCATTTATCTTAAAATTATTATAATGGCGGAAACCACAATAATGATCACAGCATTGTTTAGTCAAAGATTTAACAAAAACACCATTATTCGACAACTTTTGATTGAAGTTTTTGATAATAAAATTTATTAATTATTAAGAAATAAATAAAGATTGATATTGTACCCTATAAATATTTTAAGAAAACAAAAAAAAAAACAAGAAATACCTTGAAAACATTTTTCAAACAAATCTGTCAACACACTATCAATTGGTAATTTTCATCACAAAAATCCAATGAAGTTATTGATCACACGACAATTCGCCAAAAAATCACAATCACGAGCCACAGTTATCGTGAAAAACAACTTTATTTCTAAGCTCGATGCGCGTGCGCACGGGTGGAGTGGTCGCGGATCACCAACCGTTGGTCCACTACTACTCTGAACTAGTGATGTGCGCTTCCGAATCCCACAATCCCACGCTCACCGCAGTGGCACCCAACCTTTTATCGTTTAGAACCTTTTGTCACATTTTTACGCGTCACTACCCCGCATCGACGTACGTATGTTCAATAGTCATTTGACGTGATAGTGAGCTATTAATTTCTTTGGGAACTCTGTTAGCGTGTCACTA